ATGAGATGGATTGGCACAGTAGCAGTGGGCTCAAACTTAACAGTGATTGTGAGGATGGCACAAGACTGAGCGGTGTTTTGTTCTGTTGTTCTTAGGGTCGCTGTGAATCAGAACTGATTCCATTGCATCAAACAACAACAGTACCTTTGTGGAATGCTTGAAGTAATCAAAATGGTGCATTTGAGGTTAGACTGTTTTGTAAATTCTGCAAGTAGATAATCATTTGTTTTGCTTTGAAGTCTATCATTGGGATCGTTAGTTTTCCACCTTGTGGTGCTTCATGATTTTTGGCAGAACCTCACACTGAGATTCAGGCTTTCATGTTTTCTGTTGTTTCTCTCACTCTCTGTCTCTCTGTCTCTCTGTCTCTCTCTCTATATATATTTATGCCTACCAATCAGTCAAGCTGCTATAAAGTAGCTCTCTTTTGATGAACTCTTCTTACTTTTCTCTACATTTATTTTTTAAGCCTGCTTAACAAAATTTATGTTTCATAGTACATACTAGGCAGTTATCTAATTAATGCTTCAGTCTCTCTCAGGCACTAAATTAATCATCACTGTTCAAATAAATTTGTGTTTTTGATCTGGAAAGTTCAGCAAGGGTAGTTAATCAGCAACATGATTGAACCAGATGAGAAACAGAACTAACGCATATAGTATTTGGATAGTATCCAATAATGACAACACATAATGAGTGGTTTCTCAGCCAGCTTCCTCTCAGCCAAGCTACATTTGGCACTTAATGCATTTCATTGACTACAGCAGGAATCACTGAAATGAATTGATGCATTTGAGTTATGGTGATGGAGAAGAATATTGAAAGTACTGTAAACTGCCAGAAGAACAAACAGATTTTTTTTGGGAGAAGTACAGCCAGAATGCTTCTTAGAAGCAGAGGTGGTGAGACTTCGTGTTTCATGCTTCGGTTGTGTTATCAGGAGGAACCTGTCCCTTTAGAAGAGAGGGCATTATGCTTGGCAAAGTGGCGGGTCAGTGAAAGAGAAGACCCCCAGTGTGATTGATTAACACAGTGACAACTGCAGTGGGCTCAAGTTTAACAACAGTCTTATCTTCTCATGTTCCATGATGTTAGGGAAGTTTTCTTCCAACATCTTTTGACAATTTCCTTT